TGGGTCAGGTGCACCTTAGTCCTCAAGGTGACATCTTTGCTCTTCAACACTTTAAAAAGTTCCTGTGCAGCAGATTTGCCTAATGCAATATATCCTCTGATCTCTTGACTGCTGCTTCTGTGAGTATTGATAGTTGATCCCAGAAAAGTCCTTGGCAACTTCAATCTTTTCTCCGTTGATAAGAATGTTGTTTATTGGTCAAGTGGTGAGGATTTTTGTTTTTTTGACATTGAGATGCAATCCATACCGAAGGCTGTGTTCTTTGATCTTCATCAGTAAATGTTTCAATAATCCTTCCCTATTTGGTTGGAATTTTGTTTATTGGTCAAGTGGTGAGGATTTTTGTTTTCTTGACATTGAGATGCAATCCATACCGAAGGCTGTGTTCTTTGATCTTCATCAGTAAATGTTTCAATAATCCTTCCCTATTTGGTTGGAATTTTGTCAGGAGGGACCAGTCCCTGGAGAAGCATATCATGTTTGGTAAAATGGAGGGTTAGAGAAAAAGAGGAAGACCCACAGTGAGATGGATTGACACAGTGGCAGCAGGGACAGGTGCAAATGTAGCAACTGTGTGAGGTTGCGCAGGACTTCGCAGTGTTTTGTTCTGTTGTGCATAGGGTTGCTGTTTGTCAGTACCAACTCAGTGGCATATAACAACAACAACAGAGGAACAATCAAAACTAATGTAAAAATCCAAAGAAAGCTTAAGACTTAATGTAGGAAACAATCAAGAGGAGTAACTTATATATGCAATTAGAAATCCAGAACAGGAAAAACTATAGAAAAAATTATCCAAGAGTGGTGGAAGAAAACTTATCTAACATAATGAAAGATGAGAAGACAGCCCTGCAAGAACTTGAAGAAACTCTAAACAGGATAGACCCCAAAAGAAAATCACCAAGACATAATCAAAATTTCAAAACCAAAGACAAGGAAAATATCTAGAGATGGCTCAGGAAAAATAAAAAGTAACTTCCAAAAGAAAACTAACAAGACTAGCATTTGTCAGCAGAAGCCATGCAGACAAGAAAACAATGGAATGACGTATATAAAACTCAGAAAGACAAAAAAAATATTGCCAACCAAGAATCATATAACCAGCAAAATTGTCCAGCAAATATGATAGCAAAATTAAGATACTTCCAGATTAGCAGCAATTAAAAGAATTTGCAAAAATCAGACCAACATTACAAACATTGCTAAAGGGAGTACTTTCGACAAAGAACCAACAACAGCAGACAACAACAACCTGAGACTAGCATACGTGACAGACAGTATCACCCAGAACTCAACACAGATTTAGATGTATTCAAAGTAGAACAGACCAACAAGACTGAAAATAAGGAACCAGAGATATAGTTGCAGCAGCAACAACAAAATACCCATAAAGTAAGAAAAAGGAATAATGTAGGTACAGAACTTCCAAATGAAGTGGAAATCAAGTAGATTTCAAGAATAAAACAAAAAAAAATAAACCTAACTGTTACCACAAAACTAGACCAAGCCTTACTCTAGCTCTAGTCCAACCCCTACCCCTAACATTAACCCTAGTCCTGTCCATAACCCCTAAACAATGTTCTATGCTTATTGCATGTTGTTGTTTTTAAGTGTCATTAGTATGTTCTGACTCACAGCAATCCTGTATAGTTTCTAATGAGTAGCTGATGAGTTTGAACCGCCAACCTTGTGGTTCAAATTGACCAGTGGTCTTGTGCTTTGTCCCACAGTGCCATACTGGGACTATTACACACTAGAAACCAATGTGGAAGAACATGCCCAGCACTTCTCAAGATGAAAGAACTGAAGAAGAAATCCAAACCTTCATGTGTATTGCATTAATATACTAATACACTTAATGTGCAGTACGCGTGAAGGTTTGGATTTTTTTTTTTTTTTTTTTCCAGTTCTTTCAGCTTGAAAAATGTTGACTGTGTTCTTCCCGTTTGATTTTCTGACTCCAGGTGTTTGCATATTTCATTATAGTACTTTGCTTGGTCTTTTCAAGCTGCCCTTTGAAATTTTCTGATTAACTCTTACACTTCATCATCCTATTCACCGTTGCTACTCTATGTCCAAGAGCAAGTTTCGGAGTCTCTTCTGCCATCCACTTTGATTTTTTCTTTCTTCCCTGTCTTTATAATGATCTTTTACTTTCTTTATGTAAGATGTTCTTAATGTCATACCACAATTCCTCTGGTCTTTGGGCATTAGTGTTGAATGCATCAAGTCTGTCCTTGAAATTGTCTCTAAATTCAGCTGGAATGTACTTAAAGATATATTTTGGCTGTCATAGACTTGTTTTAATTTTCTTCAGCTACAGCCTTAAGGAGCTCTGGTAGCGTAGTGGTTACGAATCGGGCTGTGAACCTTAAGGTCAGCGGTTCGAAACTACCAGCTGCTCCGCGGGAGAAAGATCAGGCTTTCTACTCCCGTAAAGATTTACACCCTCGGAAACCCTGTACAGGGTCGCTATGGGTCGGAACCGACTCAACGGCACTTAACAACAACAACAACAACAGCCTTAAGTAGCAGATGAGTAATTGATGGTAAGTTCTGGTCAGTCTCTGACCTTGTTTTGACTGATAATATTGAGCTAGCTATTCTGTCTTCTCTTCCCACATACGTGATCAGTTGATTGTTGTGTATTCCATCTGATGAGGTCCACATGTATAGTAGTTGTTTATATTGTTGATAACAGGTGTTTGCAACGAAAAAGTCATTGGTCTTGCGAAATTCTACCATGTAATCGCCAGTGTCATTTCTGTCACCAATACCATATTTTCCAACTGCTGATCCTTCCCCTTTGTTTCCAGCTTTCTCATTACAATCACCAGTAATTGTCAGTGCATCTTGATTGCATGTTTGATGGAATTCAGACTGCAAACATTGGTAGAATTCTTCAATTTCTTCAAAATCATTGGCTTTGGGGGTTAGTGCATAAATTTGAATAATAGTTGTATTAACCTGTCTCTTTGTAGGCGTATAGATATTATCCTATAATAGACAGCATTGTACTTCAGAATAGATCTTGAAATGGTCTTTTAGATGATGAATGCTATGTCATTTCTCTTCAATTTGTCATTCCTGGCACACAAAAGCATTTGTCCATTAAAAATGGCTAATATAGATCTTGTAATCTCACTACTGCCTATTATATCAATCCTTGTATTCTCTTTTTTATTTTTGTTGACTTCCAGTTTGACTAGATTCATTCAACTTTTCATGTTCTGATTATTAATGGATGTTTACAGCTGCTACTTCTCATTTTGAGTTGTACCCCATCAGCAAAAGAAGGTCCTGATAGCTTTGCTCTCTATACAGGTCATTATGTTGATACTACTTGGAGTCCTGGTACAGCAATGTGTGATAAGCACTGGACTGGTAACCTCAAATTCAATGGTTTATACCAACCAGCCGCTCCTTAAAAACCGTATACAGGGTCACTATGAGTCAGAACCAACTCTGTGGCACTCAACAACAACAAAAACCTGCTACTTTGAGGTGGCACCTTTTCCCCAGTCTTATTTTGAGATCTTCCAACCTGTGGGTCTTATCATTTGGCATTATATCAGACAAGGTAGTATCCTGCTGCTGTTCATAACGTTTTCAGGGGCTAATCCTTTAGCAGGGGACCACCTATTTTTCCCTAGTCTGTTCTTAGTCTGGAAGCGCTACTGAAACCTGTTTACCATGGATTACCCTGTTGGGATTTGAAATACTGGTACATCATTTCCAGTATTACAGTATCATCAAGCCACCACAGCATGACAACTGACAGCTGTGTGATGGTACAAATGGCTTAGTGCTCAATTATTAATCATAAGGTTGACATTTATACCCATCCACAGGTGCCTTTGAACTGCAAGGTCGGCGGTTCAAGCTCACCAGTCACCCCTCAGAAACCCTATACAGGGTCACTATGAGTCGGAATCGACTCGACGGCACTTAACAACAACAACAACAATAGGTGCCTTAGAAAGAAAACTTGGCATTCTAGCTTGAAAAGCTTGTGGAGTGTAGCTCTACTCTGCAATACAGGGGATTTCTAGGAATCAGAATGAACTTGATGACAAGTGTTTTGGTTGTTGTTGTTTTAAACCTGGAATCAAATTCACAGACTTCATTCTGAATAGAACAACTTAGGTTACAATCCTATCCCTGAGTCAATCACTGTGGCAAAGAAGATGCATGATGTTTACTGATTTAATTCACTCAGAGTCTTTCCCTGGTGCTGGAATTAAGATCATTCCCACTGAAACTACTTGTTCTGATATGAAAACATGCAGCCAACAATGTTCGCTGTAAAGGGAGAACAAAAGGAGGCAGGCCATTCCCTTTGCCAAATGTAATTAAATCTTATTTTTCTGTTTCTCTTTCACAGTTATAATGTTTTTCTCTTCTGTTTTTATGACAGCAAATTGTTTGCAACAGAAAACTTTTTGGCAGCTATTAATGCATACAACTTAGCCATAAGACTGAACAATAAGATTCCATTATTGTATTTGAATCGTGCAGCTTGCCATCTAAAACTCAAAAACTTGCACAAGGCTATCGAAGATTCCTCTAAGGTATATATATTCATATATATGTGTGTTTATATGTAGTGTTTGGAATTGTAATCCTTCTATTTATTGGTTTTAATTATGTCCTTGTCTTTTTTTTTTTTTTTCTGTTGAATTTAAATACTTAAAATACAAGGCCTTTAAAAATCATCTTGTTTCATACATCTTGCTACTTTTTTTTGATAATGGACAAGGGATTGATGTGTCCTTAGATTTCAAGTTAGATTAGAAAACTCCTGTCAAGTGTTACTGTATTTCCTTGGTATTGGTAGAAGTTCATGAGGAAATGAGGAAATGTTTATCAGTTTGTGGTCACTTTTTTTCTTCATAAAGTTTTCCAGGTTAAATGAAAGGTAGAAAGGAGAAAACTTGGCATGAAGACAAGTTGAAAAGTTTTGCTACAAAATCATCTAAATAAAACAACCAAAATGTGAAGCTATTATTTTTTGGCATATCATTGTTCTAGGTCTATACACTTCTGAAGGTGGTGTTTCCAACTACCTAATCTTTCCTTAGAATTCTGCACTGTTCGGTTTACACCTCTAGGGACTCAACTTAAGTTCTTTTGCGTATTCTTTGAGTTTAGAGAATAAAAAGAAGTCTGAGGGTACAAGATCAGGGATGCATAGTAAAATAATTTATCTATAATCATTTCTCATTATAACGGTAACTTATTGTTAAGTGCCATTGAGTAGGTTCTGACAGTAGTGACCCATATAGGATTCCCTAGTAGCAGCTGGTGGATTTGAACTGCTGACATTACAGTTAGCAGTTCAGTGTTTATCATACCATACCTTACTAGGACTCCTTAGTATGTTCTAATTTCCATTACAATATTTCAAGTCAGTATGTGAAATGTTTAGTTTTTTCCCCCTTATTTTCTATATCAGGATTACTTATATAAAAAACCCACTGCCCTCAAGTCAATTCCGTCTCACAGGGACCCTGTATAAAATTTCTGAGATTGTAGATCTTTGCAGGAGCAAGACAGCCTTTCTCCTGCTGAGCATCTGATGGGTTGGAACTACTAAGCTTGCAGTAGCAACCCAGCATCTTCCCCACAGTGCCATGAAGATTCCCAACTTGTGCTAATGGAACAGCATATATAAAATCTCTTCTGTGGCTCACTAAGATTGGTGTGTTGTGCATAGGGTCATTATGAGTTGGAATTGACTCATTAGCACCTAACAGCAACAAACTTGATGAAATGGAAGATTCAGATCCTCTTATTTTGATTTCATCAAGCTACTGAAAATATAATTTTATGACCCAATTTTTCTTTGACTAGCTCAAATTCTTATACCAACAAATATTTATTAAACAAACAAATAAATGGAACTACTCAATTGGAGTGCTCAGCCAAAAAAATCTGACCCATTGCCATCAAATAGATTCCACCTTATGGTGACCTGCACTCCATAATAATGTCATCTATGCCTGAGTAGAACTGCTCCTCCTCAGGAGTCTGGTGGCTATCGTTTTTACATAAGCAGATGGATAGGCCTGTCTTCCTTGTTGGATTCAAATGGACAGTCTTGGTTCATTTGGTTTATAAGAGAGAGCTAACCATTTGTGCCACCCAGAGACCTCATTGAATATAGAAGGCCACAGATGCTATTTAACCATTCCAGTGAGCAAAGGTAAAGCTGTAGAGATTTCAAATGGTAAGCTAGACCATAACTTTTGAGAAGCGGGTATGAATCCTATGTAGGAACAATTGAACAACTTCTTAATGTTCAATATAAATGTATGTACACCTACTCCTCACTTAGTGACTATCTCATTTTCCAGCATTTGCAACTCCAGTAGGAGAATAACTATCTGTTTTGCACAGTAATAATGTACATTTGGCAGTGAACACTGAGAACCAAGGTAAGAGTAAACTGTGATGGTTAAGGTTCGTGTCACCTTGACTGGACCATGATTCTCAGTGGTTTGGAAGTTTTGTGATGATGGAATTTGGTAGTTATGTAATGACACAGTTATCTTCCCTTTTGTGATCTGATGTAGTCATCCTCCATTTTCACATAGTACCAATTTTTGCTTAACAACCTGGTCTTTGGAACTTAACCATGTTGATAAGTGAGGAAGGGGTGTATTTGATAAATTCCTGTACCGGGTAAGCTAGAAATTTAAGTGGATGAGAGTTTGAGGTTGCTTTGATATTAGAATTTTTACTATGCTTCTGCTTAAGTTTAAATTAGGAAATCTTATCTTTCCCATAGTAATTGTGTATATTTATACGTATATATATATTATAAGGCACTGGAATTATTGACACCACCTGTTACAGACAATGCTAATGCAAGAATGAAGGCATATGTAAGACGAGGAACAGCATTCTGTCAACTAGAAATGTATGTAGAAGGTAAGAAATTGATAGAAGTATTTTAAGATTGATAGAAGTATTTAAGTACTCTGAAAAAAAGTCATTGTGATTTCTTAAGATCGTAACTTTTTGTTGTTGCTAAGTGCCACTGAATTGATTCTGACTCATAGAGATAGGTTTGAACTTCTGACCTTGTGGTTAGCAGTCCAGTGCTTATCCTACAGTGCCACACCATGACTCTATTTTTTAGGACTCCATTAGTTTACCTTTTGGAATTCATCATCTGACAAAATGATTTTGAAATATTTTCAAAGTCTCATTATTCTAACCAACCCAAACTCATTACTCTTGAGTCAGTTCCGACTCATGGAGGTTCAGTTGGATAGACTAGTACTGCCCCATAGAGCTTCCTAGACTGTAATCTTTACAGAAGCCAAATCTTTGTCCTACAGAGTCGTTAATGGGGTTGAACCACCTACTTTTTGGTTAGCAGTTGAGTGCTTAACCACTGTGCTACCAAAGCTCCTTCTCTTTATTCTAGAAGAGAATTAGTGCAGAATCTGAACAAGTTTAGGTCTAAGAAAACACTCTAGTATAGAAAGAAAATGAAATAAACAAATGAATCACTTGTGATATAATGGAAATGTAAATAATGAGTTTCTCTAGTCCTCATCCATATATACACATAAGCTCAGAAATAACTGATTTACAACAGTGCATGAACATTGCTTATATTTGTGACCCTGTACTTAAGTCACAGTAACCACATTCTTTTAAGGTCTGTAATCCAGCCCTGTGTGTATAGAAACCATTGTTGTTATTGTTGTTGTTAAGTGTCATTGAGTCAGTTCTGAGTTACAGCAACCCTACGTAGGCTTTCTGAGAAGCAGCTGGTGAGTTTGAATGGCCAACCTTGGGATTCAAACCAACCTTATAGTCCAGTGTGTTATCCTGTAGTGTCACACCAGGACTCCATAGAAACCATAGCATACATTATTTTTGTTTTGTATTTTAAATAATTTATTTAGGTGACTATTTATAGTTGTTCATACTGCTCTAAAGGCAATTTTGCGGAAGCTCTATGTAAATAGAAGCAATACATAACATGTATATTGATCCTCATTATTTGCAGATTCCATATTGGGGAATTTGCTTACTCATTAAAATGTTTGTAACCTCAAAATCAATGCTCATGGTGCATTTGTAGTCATTTGCAGACATGCATTGAATGATGAAAAATGTTGAGACACTTATCACTCACATGCATTACTGAGGCTGACATTGAATAAGGCACTCTCATATGGTAAACAAATGCCCGTTTCATATTCTACTTAGCATCACATGTTCCTTGTTTTTATGCTTTTGGTGGTCATTTTGCTGTTTAAAATAGCTCCCAAGTATAATGCTGAAATGCTGTTTAGTGACTACACTAATAAGTGCAAGAAAGCTCTGATGTGCCGTCAGAGACACTGCAGTGTTGGGTGTGCTTTGTTCAGGCTTGAGTGCTGTGTGCAATGAGTTTAGTGTTAATGAATCAACAATATGATACATCCACAAAAAGGAGAGGAAGTACAAATCTGTATGTGAGGCCACTTTAAAAAGTGCTAACATAACATTTATCATATGTGATGAAGCTATGGGAAAATGGCTGAATCTGTGGATTCATGAGATTACAACCAATTAAGTATAATGGACAACATTGTTGAGAGGCTGAAAATCAAAGATAATTATGGTCATATTATCTAGTGTCAGGAAAATTTTAAGCCCTTTCTGGTTAGGGTTCTATTACAAAGAAATATTGCAAATAATAATTTGTAAAACATACCAAATAATGTATCTTTAAGCAAAAACATTCATAAAACAAGGTTATGTTTAATCTGTTGATGAAAATATAACCAGGTAGTGCAGAACTTAACGCTGGATTTCCCCTAGCAGTTAGTATTTGCTTATTCATTGTTCTTGGTGTCTTTATAATATAACTATTGTAAATAATAATACACTGTATTTATGTATTTATTTGCCTTTTTGATAGTATATTTAGCAATTATTTGCATTTACTCATGTTGTCCTAAAGGCAAAATTTTATAGCAGGCAGAATTTTCTTCACTTTTCCTCTTCCCTTGCCTGCCCCCTTCAACTTCCCTTCATTCAATGCTCATTCTTGATGATACCATGACTAGGAATGATGTCCAGTTTGTAAATTTTTTTTGTATCTAACTTCATGGTGTAGTGCTGTAGGGTAAGCAGTGGACTGCAAAGTCAGTTTGAACCACAAGGTCAGCAGTTCAAACTCACCAGCCACTCCTTGAAAACATTATATAGGGTCGCTGTGGTTGGAACCAGCTCAGTGGCTCTTAACAACAACAGCAACTTTATTGTTAAACTTACCTATGCCATTTTTAGGAGACTTTTCTAACCCAAGCATCCAAATTAGGTTTATATGCACCATTGTTTTTTTCTTTTGTTTCTTATTCAATTTCATGAGGACAAAAATGATCAAACTATGATCTTTAAACCTATCTTTAGATATTGTAGCATCACAGACTTATTTGAGCCACAAGGATTCTCATTTTACAGATGACCAAATGGAATCACAGAGAAGTTAAGTGATTTGTCTGAAGCATTGTTGTTGTTCTGCTCTCGAGTCAGTTCGGACTCATAGTGACCCTATATTGGGTTTCCGAGGAATACTAGTGGATCTAAACTGCCAGCCTTGTGGTTAGCAGTTCAGTGCTTATCCTGCAGTGCCACACAGGCAATATGGCAAATTAATCGTACTTTAGAGAGAAGAACTCAGGTTTCTTACGCTTAAGGAAATATTTTTCCCACTTCTTATTTGGTAAAGGGTTCAGATTCAGTTACATATTCTTAACAACCAGTCCACAGTGCTTTCCTTTGCAACCAATTTTCCTGAAAGGACTTTTGTAGATAATTATAGGAAAAATCCATACCAATCCAGCCTATATTATGTAAAATATGAATTAAATATATAAAAATTTGTTTAACTAAGAATTTCTAAATAAAGTAACCTATATTATGTTTTCGGTGAAGTGATAAAGATGCCTTTTGTATATATCAAAGTTTTATTGAATCTGTTCATACTTTAATGAATTTAAATTGTTAACTTATGTGTTCTTGCATCTAAAATAATTGCTGCTTATTGCATCCTGAATGAAACTACTATAATTATTCCTATAGTTACAAATGTTATCATGTGTGAAGGTGGGTGTGCTACATTCAAACTTAGTACTTGTCCTGAACCATGCTTTTGGTGATTATTTTTATTTTTAAAGAATATTGTGTAGCTAAGACAAGTATTTATAAAGTATTCATTCTATTGATCATCATTACTATATAAATATAGGTCTACTGGATTATGAAGCTGCACTTAAGATTGATCCATCCAACAAAATTGTACAAAATGATGCTGAGAAGATTCGTAATATAATTCAAGGAACAGAACTAAAATCTTAAGAACTACTGGAGGCAGCTAGATGTTATTTAAAAAATTTAAAAGCAACCAGGAATTTTGAGATCACTTTCGTATTATGGTTGATTGAGCAGACTCACTTTTTGTTTAGTACTCTAGTTCTGTAGGAAGGAGAATATTAAAGGAAATTGAATGTTTGGCTTGAGAGTTTCTGAATAATTAAATCAAAATAAGAATAATTTACTTTTCTTTATATGAATGCACAGTTTAACTGTATATATAGTTTTAATTGAATTGGATTTGCACTTGTACCTAATGAAATATTTGTTTGTGTGATAATTACTAGGACACTTACGAATTAATTGTTAACAACATAAATTTTTTCAAATAAAACATAATGTTTACAGAGTATTTCTGAGTTTTATTAAATACACTTTTGAATGGTCTGAATGATTGGCCTTGGTATAATCAATGCTGCTAGATTTTTACTTGGTTGCCAATACACAGAACTTGTCTTCTCTCTAATACCTCTCCACCATCTATGACGGTAGATCTACTCAACCTTGTGAAACAAATATCTAGAAATCCTTATCTTCAACTGTAGTTATCAGTATGTTGACTCAAAACACTAATCATATTTCATAACACTATCTGAAAAAATAAGTGTGATTATTTTCTAATACCTTTAAATAGACTAGGAAAGAAAAAGACAGCAAAGGAGGAGATAGATGATAATTTAGAGTATTATAGTTATTGGTTTTGGATTGGCCCACTAGTTGTGTTGTTTCACTATGTGATGATACAAGCATTTGTCACAACAGTACAGCTTCCCTCTTACTTTGTCACAGTTCACAGATTATATTGAAACGGTTTTTCATACAACAAAACTGAAGGTGAGTTTTTATAGTACTTTTATCACTCTCTACTCTAGTCCTCTGTGGCTATGTCACTGACTCTGGGCCCAAGAGTCCCCAGATCTTGCTACATTGCTGGCCAACCAGGTCTCCACCTGGGTTCACAAGAGTCTATTGAATATTATAGGGCTTAGCTTGCAGCTTCATTGCTGTTTTTCCTCATTTCCCCTTATCTGTGACAAACATGGTCACCAATCAGAGCGCATGTCTGCTTATGTATTCCCATTGAGTCTTAGTCTTGGAAGGGGGTTTGTCCTGAGGGGACCCAACCACTTGCCTTTATATTTTCTGGGTGGGCAACTTGCTTGTTCTTGTAGTAATCAG